TTTAAAGATAGAAATAAAATAATTAACTCTATTTAAGAGATTATTATAATACAACAATGAATAGTGAATTCAAAATATAATTTAAAAATAGGCTGAATACATTAAAAAACTGGCTCTTTGAATAGATCAACAGAAAAAGATAAACCTCTTTTAATCACAACAAAAATATGAAGAGAATGAGAATGGAAAATATAGAAGGTTAGTAATAAGAAAGGAAGTAAAACCACAGATAGAGAAAAAATTAAAATACTGTAAGCAATTCTATAGTAAATCCAGGACATGGATTTTTTTTTACTACAATGCAAATTACTAAAATTGTTGCACGAATAGCAGAAAATTAAATGAGTAATTACTTCCAGAAAACATTGCTAAGTTATTAGAGATCTACCACTGAAAAATATACCATATACCAGTATTCTTCACAAATGAATTTAACCTCATCCATCTAGAATAAATATTTCGCATATTTGTACTAGTATTTAAGAGTATATAAAAAGATAAAACTTTGCAATTCTTTTTGTGATGTCAGAATAACCTTACTAACATCAGCCGATAATCACAAAATGGAATATTAAATGTGTAAGACAATCTCACTTTTGAATATAAATTCAAAAATCTATTATGTTGAACTATATTAAATTGGTTATAACCATGTCTTATCCATGGTAACTCAGTAAATGTGAGGTGTTAGTTGCAAAGAGTCCTTAAAATTAAGAAAGAAAAGAAAACTAACCTATAGGTAATAAACAAAGCATATTAACAGATGATTCACAGATGAAATTGTAATAATCAGTCATACAAAAAGATATTCCAAATATACTAGGAATCATGAAAATCAATTAGATTAACAAAGTAATATCTTCTTACTCATCAGATAGGCAAAATATAAAAGAAGAAACACCTATTTATGGGTAAAATATTAAATGCTAAGTCTTTTTTTATAAAGAAATATCCACTAAAATGAAAAATACATATTCCCTTTGATCTAGTAGATATATTTCTGGAAATAGCGATTATCACAATGGAAGCATCAATATTTGAGAATGGATAATGCATGATGTCCATTCCAGCATTATATAAAGTGGAAGATAAAAATAAAATAAATATTACAACCCTAGAAATAAACTGAATGTCAACTAACAGGGAACTAACTAAATACTCTATGATACATCCAAACTATGAAATATTATATAGTCATTAAAATAAACGAATAAAAGAGATTGTTGTTTGGTAAAAGCAATGTTTCATAGAATCTGAATAATGTGCCTTTTTGGAGGGTACAGTATAAAACCCCTTAGATTTGTGTACATGTGATATCATATGTGCACACTCACAATACAATAATCACTTGAATAGGGAGAAAAATGTGAAAGTAGTTGTTTAGGTCAGATTAAGAAAAAAACACGGGAAGAAAGTAGAAAAAACAAAATGGAAAAGAAAACTTGTCTCTAGAAAAACAAGAGAGAGGCCTGTATGAGATCTTACTCAGGCACTTGTGTAAAATAATATTTGTGTGGTCATATTTATAAAGGAATACAATATTTCTTAAAAGAACCAAATTGATATTATACATACACAAAAAAATACATGCATACAGATATAGTGAACAGCATAAAGTTTAGCATGTATAGTTTACCACTGAAAAAATGATGATGGTTGCACTTCTTATAACCCAACTACAGGATGCCAAAATACCCAAAACAATGTTTCTATTGCCACATGAAGAATCCTCAAATGAAAAGTGGATCATGGTACTTTCTTGTTCTTGAGTTATTAATCTCCCTGGAGAACACTATATTTCCTTCCCTAATAAATTCTAGAAATGTTTATATTCTACTTTGTATAATTAAAATGAAAATATTGTAGCACATATCTTCATTTGTAAGACAAATTTATATGAATGCCCCATAATTTGAAATATTCATATTAACTACAGCATACTGAATTAGGGAAGATTTGCATGGGATACTCTTGAAACTTAGCTGTCTAATGAAAAACATCTGTATTGCAGAAATAAGTAGACATATAATAGCTTACAATGGCAGTTTTCACCTTGATGCTCCTATATCCAAGAAAGTCAGTCTATCTTTTTAACCAGCTTTCAGGACTTTCATTTATCTGCTTGTCTATATAAATTTACTGAAATGCCCATTTGCATGACACTTCTCTGTAAAGTCCATATGATACCACACTCGCATTTAATGTATTGAATAGCTCAATATTATTCTTTACTTTAAATTTTGTGTGGAATTCAACCATGAACTTGTATCTTGATCCTTTATCCTTTTTAAAATGATTCTACATTTTTTTGTGTCTCATTAATTTGGCTTAAGCCAAGTGACCAATAATTTTTAAATAGTTGGGGTACAAAAATAAATTTAAGTATTTAATTAGCCAATAAACCTGCAAATAAGTGTATGTGGGATTAATTCCGGGTGATTTGTTCATTACACCGAAGAGTAGCCTTTGGTTTTCAACTGGATTTCCCAGATAACTTAATATTTTCAAGTTATTCATTAATCAAATTTAGAAAATTGGCATGAATGATAAGGAATATTCTTTTAGTATTGAGAGAAAGGTGAAGCCATCTCACTGAAGGAAAAAACAAGTGGGAAGGACAGATCAGAGTGAAATTTAGTCCAGTAAGCGTTTAGAGACTGAGAGAATAAAAGCTTTAACGACAATGATTCTCAATTACTTAGTGAAGATATCTAGGGATGATAACCAGTTTCTCTTAGGTCACTGCTCTAAGGATCCCATGGAACAAAATGTCAGGATCCTGGAGGAAGCCCAAAGAAAGTTCAACTAAAGCATCTGGCTGGTGTGGCTCATTAATTTAGCATCGACCTATGAACCAGGAATTCACTGTTCAATTCCTGATCAGGGCACACACCCAGATTGTGGGCTCTATCCCCAATGGGGAATTGCAGGAGGCAGCCAATCAATGATTATTGCTCATCATTGATGTTGCTATCTCTCTCTCCTTCTCTATTCCTCTCTGAAACTAATAAAAATATATTAAAAAAAGAAAATTCAACCAACGTGATCAGTGATCCAAGGATAGTAAATAGGAAAAGAAATCTAATTTACTTCTCAACTTCAACCTTGCTCTGACAATTTCATCCCCATTGTATAGCACTTAATCTGAAGTTGCCTATTTGCTTTATTGTGATATTTTCTGCTTTTAAAGTATCCCTGAGTACTTATTTTTAGTTAACCTTTTCATTTTGATATAATTATAGATTCTCATATAGTTGTAAGCAATAATGCAGAGATCTTGTGTACCCTTAACCCAGCTTTACATGATGGTAGCATACTATACATAGTATGAAATTCCATGGACATCAACATTGACACAGTGCACCAGTAGGATTTATATTTTTCCAGTTTTACTTGTACATGTGTGTATGCATGTGTGTCTTTAGTTCTATACATTATTATCACATATTTATGTTTGTGTTTCAATTCATCTATGAGTCAAGATGCAGTACACATCCATCACCACAAAAATCCCTTCTGTTGCCCCCCTTTTTTTTAATAAACCCTCACTCAAGGATATACTTTTTATTACTGAAGAGAGAGAGAGAGGGAAGAGAGAGGGGGGGGCAGAGAGAGAGAGAGAGAGAGAGAGAGAGAGAGAGAGAGATAAATCAGTCGCCTCTAATATTCACCCCTACTGGAAATGGCACCCACAGCATTTTGGTTCATGGACTATGCTCCAACCAACTGAGCCACCCAGGCTTGGACCTCCTGCCCACCCCACTCCAGTCCCTTACCTCTGGCAACTGTACGTTTCCATTCCTCTAATTTTGTCATTCCAAAAACTGTTATATAAATAGAATCATACTACAGTATATGTAACCCTTTGAGGTTGGCTTTGTTTGTTCAATCAGCATAATTTCCAGGATATTCACCCTAGTTGCTATATATATGAACAGTTCATTCCTTTTCATTACAAAATAATATTCCATGGTATGGATGTACCACAGTTTGTTTAACCATTGACCTTGAAGGGCATCTGGATCATTCCCAGTTTTGGCTATTACAAATAAAGCTGGTGGGAATACTTATGTATAAGGTTTTGCATAAAAACCAGTTTCTATTGCTTTGGGATGAATGCCCAAGAGTTCAATAGCTGGACTGTATGATGAACACATGCCTAGCTTTGTAAGAAATGGCCAAATGTTTTCCAGAGTAGCTTTACTATTTATATTGCTACCAGCAATGCATGAGTGATCCAGTTTCTTCATATCCTCATCAGCATCTGATGTTCTCACTATTGTTTAATTTTAGCCATTATGATGTGTTTAATGCTAGTTCACTGTGGTTATATTTTGCATTTCCCCAATGGTTAGTAATGTTGACTATATTTTCATGTGTTCATTTGTCTGATGCTTATATTTAACCTGACCCTGACTGAGAATGTTAAAACCATGGACAGGGGATAAGATACATCTTGAAAAATGAAACCCTACCAGATTTTGATTTCCGAATCTAGTCCTGAATGGAGAAAAGAGAGCTGGCCATTAGCGCCATTGTTAATTAGAATTCTAATGTGTTTCTAAAGTAAGGGCATTCTAGTCAAATATAGTCACCCCTAATTATAATAGCATTCTTTTGAGCTAGATAAAAGACTGATGAAATTTCTTTCTTTTCAATATGTATTAGAATCAAATCTTAATTTTAGACATTCTTTATGTGGTATCACTGTTATAAATTTTATTTGGAGATACTCTGATTAGCCTCTTTAACTTGCAATAATCTATTGATCTATTAAAAGCACATTCATTTCCTATCTCTTTGCAAATGTGTATGGGGAACTTGCCCATTATAGAAAGTGCATTTACAAATTCATTGTTTCACTTTTAGATTATTTTTAAAAAGTGGTAATGCTGTTTAGGCTCTGAAAATAGCTATTTCAATTACTTCCTCATATTGTTTTCTTTTCAAATAGATATTTTGTCTCCCTTCTTCAAATATGTTCCCTTTATCTTTAACAGGTTGATTTGGTGAATATTGGAAGCTCTGACATAGTAGATGGAAATCACAAATTGACTCTTGGTTTGATTTGGAATATAATCCTCCACTGGCAGGTAAGAATTCTGATGAATGTCTCCTTTTTGAGTAACATGTTGCTGATCCTCGCTTTCATTTTCCCCCATTGTCCTGCAAAACAAACGTGTACATCTCTAACAATACAAAGCCTATCTCTATAGTGCTGCCTTTTAACTTAGCACAAGTAAGGTCATTTGAGATGTGAATGAACAGCAGATTATAAAACATAAACTAACACATATGAAGGAATATTTTTCTAAATGTTATTTCACTTGGTAGAGATGGGTCAAAAAGATGTGTCATTAACAGGGTAAGAAAAATATTTTTCACAAATATGTGTTTTCTATTACCTTTAAGTGAACCTACATAGTTTTAGAAAATGAAAAGTATTTTTCCTGTTAATCACTACCAAATCAATGATACTTTGTGAATCTTATGTATTCTTAATGTAAATCAACATCAATAAAAGAGTAGTGGGATGTGATCATCTGTATGAGTATATGTGTTATACTTACAAACTGACTTTATAATCTGATTTGGGCATTGCATTTTTTTGAACTACTTCAGCATAGGGTCTTCTGAATGTCTATATTTATTGGACCTCTGCAAAACAGAAAAAAATATCATTTGGTTTAGTGGAAAGAGTATAGTTTCTTTTCCATCAGACCAACATGAACTTAAATTCAACTCCACCATTTACCATCTTAATGACATTCGATTTAATGCCATCCCTTTCTGGGCCATAATTCTCTCACTGTCAAAATAGAAAAAGATAAGAATGAACATCTATTTCACATCAGGGTGAAATGAAAGAATATCCATAAAGCACTCAGTACAGTGCACCATTTTCATGAGAGTTATATCACATGAATAACTGTGATTGTTTAAGAGTTTTCTACTCATATTTTAAGAACTTGAAACATAATTATGTCTGCTGGTTTTTTTTACTAACAGAAGTTACTTATTTATAAAAAAATATTAAAAAATGTTTTAATTGATTTTAGAGAAAGAAGAAGGGAGAGGAAGAGATACATAGAAACATCGATGAGAGAGAAATATCAACATTGAATGGCTGCTTCCTGCATGTGCTCTCCTCTTCCCCCTCTCACCCACCCAGCCCACCTGCTTACTGGGGATAGAACTGCAACCAGGGCATGTGCCCTGACCAGGAATTGAACCAGTGACCTCTTGATTTTTGGGTTGACATTCAGCCATTGAGTGATAATGGCTGGGCTAAAACAGCTTTTTTGAGATGTAATTTATATATTATAAATTTACCTGTTCTAAGTATAAAATTCAAAGTATACCAGGCTGGTTTAGTTATTTTTTTCAAGAATTCTCAAACTATTTTGAGGATGGAACATAGTCCCGCCCTCCCAATCCATAAAAGACTTTAGGATATTTACAGAGTTGTACAACCATCACAACAATGTAATTTTAGCACATTGCCACAACCCTAAAAATAATTCTCATGTTCATTGACAGTTACTCCTCACTCTCATTCCCCAGCCCTTGGCAACCATTAATCTATTTTCTGTTTCTATGTGTCTGCATTTTTTGGACATTTCATATCAATGGAATCATATGTGTTCTTTGATATCTTGCTCCTTTCATTGAGCATAATCTTTGAGGTTTATCCCTATTGTAGCAGACATCACTACTATACTTCATTTAGTAGGGTAGACTTTTTTTATGGAAGCAAGCACGAGACTGAGGATTCTCAGAGGGAAGGAGGAGGGAGAGTAGGGTTTACTTTTAATTTGAATTGTAGGTTGGTCCTGTTCAGGTTCAGACAGGAATAGACTAGAGGTATACATATTCAACTTGGTAGCCATGTTGTTCTTCCAGTTGATCCTCATCCTCATATATTTTTATTCTAAGCACTCAGAACAGACTCAGTCCTATTTCACAGCATTCTGGGAAGCGAGAGAGAATAACCATAGTGGCTAACAATAGAGAATAGCTCATGCATTCCTCAAATAAGCCAAAGATTCCCAATTCTGGGCCTTTTTTATATAGTGAGGGTATCAAATAAAACCAGCAAAGCAACATAGGGCTTCTCACCCAACTGGTTTACTTTTGTTTCTCAGTATTAATCAAACTATCTTGAGAAAAGAACAATTTTCCCCTCTTTTCCATTGTATGTAAAGAACAATAAAACTGAAGTGTTACCAAAATGAAATAAAAAGACTCACAAAGCACAAGCTTATTTTTTATCATTAAATTCAACAGATGTAAATAGGCTTTGTCAAATGCAAACAAACAGAAGTTCCTAATGGGATATCAATTGCTTTATTTATTTTATGGCCTGGTAACAAATGGCTCCTGGAAGGATCCCTAGCTTATAGAAAACACTTTGGGATGCACAGAGGTTGGTCGTGACAAAGACAGCAGAAACACATAGCCCTGAACAGGTCATTCAAAGGAGATTTTAATTGTATTTATCATCAAAACTGTCTCTGATATGTCCTCACACTTTCTTATCTCCTCAAAATGCTTTCCAGCTCTATTTCAAGCCACTGCAATATAGTTTCAAAACTAGCCCGTTTGATATTTTCTTCATTTGCTTGTGAGCTTGTTCATTTTTTATTAGCATGTGCCGGGTGTCTATCACACTCAGATATACCAAAAGGAATGTTTCTGCAGTCTTTCCTTATCTGAGACCTCTCTGTTGTTTTCCATTTATGTCCTTGAATTACTATATCTTTGTGACTACAAGAATCTAGACTTTTTCCAGCCTCTGACTCCTTATCTTATCTCTCTTCTATCACACTGTTCTCCTAAAACTACAAATACACTAAAAATTCCTTCTCCTCAGTACTTCTCATCATAATCCAATGAGTCCCAAAAGATAGTTTTACAAAGAGTACATATTTGCCTTCTTATTAAATAGTCAAAAAAGTCCTTGGATTTCTGCAAAGATTAAAGGACATTCTGGCCAACCTAATGTACTTTCCATATTTATCAGATTAAGAATGCCTTTAAAAGATGGAAAAATGTGAATCTTTTGTTCCAGTGCCACGTACTATATTATTAATAGTGCATTTAGAGGCCTTCTCTTTGAACTTGTAAAAACTCAGAAATGTCAACCCTGTTTCCCCTGCCATTGTTTTTCCAGTTTCTATTTAACACTGTTAGCCTGGAAAATCATATCTATGTTGAAGAGTATGCATCTACTTAACACCATTGTTAAGTAGACAATATGTGTTTGGCATCTTTTTCTTTCTCTTTTTTAAAACATATTTTATTGAATTTTTTACAAAGAGGAAGGGAGAGAGATAGAGAGTTAGAAACATCAATCAGAGGCCTCCTGCACACCTTCTACTGGGGATGTGCCTGCAATCAAGGTACATGCCCTTGTCGGAATCAAACCTGGGACTCTTCAGTCTGCAGGCCCATGCTCTATCCACTGAGTCAAACAAGTTAGGGCTCTTCTTTTTTTAAGGGTAAACCATCCTTTTATGGTGTTCAGATCAGTTGTGGTACCCACCTGGAGGTGAAAACATTCCCTAATAGAGGTGTGCTAGAAGAGGTTAGGCCCCAGTTTTGCTGGATAACTCAAAGGAAACAATTCCAGGGCTACTTCACACTAGAATGTATATCTGATTTATTCTTTGTATAGCATACAAGAGGAAGATGGTTTTCCCACTGCTAAAAGCCCTTACTGTGAATTCCCACATATGTACTAGTACACCTACTGCCTCTGTACCAGACAGATTTTGCTCTGGTCTTCTGCAGGCCTTCCATACACTGCGACTCATTTCTTGGAGAAGACTATTTCTACCTTCTCACTTATCCCTCTGCTGCAACTCCTTTTAATCACAGGGTGTTTTCTGGGAAGAAGATTTTGAGCTAATCAGCTTAATTAAGGCATGACGTTAGGGCCAACACCTATAGAAGGGAGAGGATGACTGGAGTGAGAACAAGAGCCAAGATGCACACCCAACAACCGCCTTATCCAACCCCCTGGGGACTTTGGAGCTAGAATGGGCCTTTAGAGTTGTCCAAAATGGGCCTGACATGAATGACTATTTCCTTTCATTAGTCACTAGATGTGGGCTGCCCTAGGAAGGGCAAGGCCATAGGTAAGGTGACTGCAACTCAGTTAAGTCCCCAAGGGAACTGACAGCTAAAGGCTGCCTGGTGACAAATGGAGAGAGAACAAGCCCTTTCTAGAAGGAGAATCTTGGTGGTGCCTCTCAATGCCTATCACACCTTCTTTGCCCAGTTAATTTCCAGTTACTTTGTGGAATCAGTGCTCAAAGGCATTTCATTTTTTCCCTTTTAAAAATAGATGTATAGCTGCACACACACACACACACACACACACACACACACACACACATTTATTTACATTGATTCTTTCTGTCTTAGGAACAGTAAGCCCTGACTCTGGGAAATATTTCTGCTAAAAGATTCACCTTAGGACCAGTGCAGTGTCTGACTGAAGGTTGATCTTTAATAAAGATTTCTTGGTAATCGTCTTTCATATAGGAAAAGATGACTGATGATTTCCTATTGCCCTTAATTTTTTTTTCTCAGCAACATTTGCACCCAAGTAAAAGCAATACCACAGAGGCTGAGTTTGATAACAGAATTAGTGACATAATGATGCTAAAGGAGTTTTGGATTGAATACCGGGTAGTCCTTTAACATTATGCGCATGGAGGGCAGTCTGGCCAAGCATTCAGTAAATGAATCCCATTCATCACTGAAGGGTTGCTGATCAGTGCAAATCTATCACCACCACTGAGCCAGTATCTATTGATTCTGACCCAGTTCAGCATAGGTCACCAGATACACATCCAGCAATCGCTGTATATGGCTGTATATGGCGGTTGTGTACTTTATGATTTTAATGATTAGAAAAGTTATGTATCTTTCATAACTATTTGACCTAATTTTCACTGAGTAACTGCCTAAATTAGCAACTCGGAAAGAAATTAAGAAAACTGGATAATCCTGCCTTACCTAATTTAGATATCGAGGAATGGTAACAAGTAAATGTAAAGATTTCACATCATTACCACGTTTACAAAACATCACCTCAAATCCTTTTCAAGTATTTTAAAGTTAGACTTAATATCCTAATTTTTGCTTTGAATCTTTTATAAAAAGATAACTATCGTTGTAGATGTTAAAATATGTATTTCTCCTAAGGGCATTTGTTAACTTCTGCATGGTTGAAGAAGCAAAATAAAATATCATATTTAGAATACACAATAAATATTCATCATATGATCAAATGGTGGTGGTACAGAGACTTTGACCAAAAGAAAAGCCCTTGTTGGTAAAAGCTAACCACATTTACTTCTATACTTCCTTCAAATATGTAATAAGGGGCCTAAATTATACCAATAAAAGAAGTAATCTAGTAATTATTCCCATAATAGAATATGTAGATGGTTTGTTCTATGAGGTGTCACTGCTTTCTTGGAATCTAGAAAAAAATGTTTAGAATGGATTTCCGCATCAGATTAGTAAGAAGAATGAAACTGATATACAACCACCTGCAGAATGACATTTGCTTTGCACAAAGCCTAGAAGAAAATGTTCAGAAAATACTAAAAAATACAAGCAAGCGTCTGGCTTTTTCTCCTTTGGTCACGTCTTGGTTTCCACTTCAGTTCTGGTGGAGGGGAGGGAAAGGGGAATAGGGAGCAAGACCCAGCCGGCAGCTGCTGCTTTGCCTGCATGGAGGTCCCCAGATTTTGACATGGATCTTCCTGTCTGCAGGCTGTGCCTCCTTGGCTGTGTGTTCTGTCTAGTTTGCCCCCATCCTGCCACAAGGGATGTCCGGTCTGCTGTCGATTTCCTTTGTCCTCCACCCGGCATTCTCAGTGGCCACCTTCCTTCTGGCCGCTCCTATTCCCGCCCCATCCTCTACTTCCTGTTTGCTCAGCCAATAAGCTGACTGGCACGTGGTGCGTGCTTCGTGCGTGGCACGTGGCGGCAGTTGTGCTTGCACATGATGGATCTCAGTCGCCATAGCATTCCTCATGTATTCCGCCATCTCCGTTGCCAGGCAGCCAGGGTATTAGGCTGCTTTGCCGCCACTGTACTTACATTTGATTTCCGTCTGCTTTTGAATGCCGCGGCTTAATTCCTCCAGCGAGGAGACTCCGCAGGGGAGACCATAGCTGATGAGGTGGAAGGACAGGATTAGGACTGGCGGTAAGGAGCCACAGGCCATCCCACTCCTGCACTTTGTGGCCCAGCGATCTCTTGTGTTGGGAAGGTGGATTCTCAGAGACAGCAGCTGCTGTTGCTGAGGAGCTGGTCTCAGGCCCCAGGGGATGTTCCTGGACCCAGCACATAGGGCAGTGCCCCTCGGCCTGGCATTAGCGAACCTCCCTGCATGTGAGGGCATCTTGAATGTTCTGCACCATCTTTTCATATTTGCCCCCAGAGATCATAAGCCCTTAAGCTTCTGCCAAAAACAAGCAGCAGGGGACAAAGCCTATAAAGCCTGCGGGAGTGGGGATGGGGAGGGAGGACATGTAAGACAGAAATTACCGCAGGGCCAACCTGCCAAGCCCCCCTGTTTTTTTTTTTCTTTCTTTTTCCCCTCTATTTGGTGCCTCTATTCATGCCAGGCACTTGGTCAACAGTGATCCTTGCAAAGCTCTTTTGTTCAGGGGATACCAGTCCCCTCTTCATTCCCAGGCAGGGAGAAAACGGACCTTTGCCCTCCCATTTAGGAGAGAGCGGGTCTCAGTGTCCCTAACAGACTCCTCACACCCTTGGAGACTATGTTTTTCAGTGAAATGACTATTCTGGGCATAAGACTGTTTTATAGAAAAGCTCCTAGACTTGCTTATCAGGTCCAAAGTATCAAAGGTATCAAATAATGAAATAATAGTGAGAGTGTCCAGGGTAACCAAACCCTCTCTTTCCCTGGGGGCCCTCCAGCAGGTGAGAGTTCTTTCAGCTCAGGATAGTGTGCTTCTATACCCAGAGCAGGTCTCCAAACCACTTCCCAAAAGGTGAGATGTGCCTTCTATGTTCACCTGAAGACCTATGCTGTGTATGTATCCTCAATGGGATTATGTAACTTTATATTTTTATATACAAAAGCAGCTTCCTAAATGGCATTTTCTGTTGCCTCACAAATGAGCCAGAGTTCTGGACCCATGCTTTGGGCATTTTGTAACCTTTCTACTCTCATATGTGAATTTTTTATGTTGAAAAAGGGCATAAAGGTTTAAACCAGACTGACCACCACAAACAAATCTCCTCAAAACAAAATAAAGGTGACACAAACGCAGCTTTTAGTGATAAATATTCTTTTCTTTTGATGATTTCTTTGTTCTTTATTTTAAATAGGCAAAGTCATTTCTATCTTTTTTCCACTTTGGTCAGTAAACATAATTTGCATTATTTTAAGTTATAGTCTAAACCTAGGGGATTTATCTTACTATAGTTTTTCCTTTGATTCTTATAATAACCTTGTATGTATAGTTAAAGAAACAGAGGTCTAAAATGGTTAAGTTGCCCACTTAACATAATTCATTAATAGCAAAGGCAAAATTTAAATCTAGGCTTTTAAAAAAGTAAGTCCAGCCTGGCTGGTGTGCTCAGTGGTTGAGCATCGACCTATGAACCAAGAGGTCATTGTTGGGTTCAATTCCAGGTCAGGGAACTTGCTGGGGTGGTGGACCCTAACCCCAGTCTGGGGTATGCAGGAGGAAGCTTATTAATGATTCTCTCTCATCATTGATGTTATTATCTCTCTCCCTCTCCATTGCTCTCTGAAATCAACTTACAAAATAAAAGAAAAAAGACCATTCTTTTAGCCACTGTGCTATTCTTCTTATCCTAGAACCACTAATATATCTTAAGTCCCTGATTAACATGTCTAATGTTTTATACATTTCCTTTTCTAGCATATCTACCGAAAGTGAGAAAATGATCAGTTCTAAAAATTAATAGTTTAATATGGCAGAATCCAGAATTGATGTTAGCCATACTCAACCAATAGGTTTATCCCAGATACTAGCAAATTATAAGAGACTACTAATTAGCATGAACTGGTAGAATCTATATTTCTTATTACTAATCAACCCTAAAGTTCCCATTGTTTTTTAAAAATATATTTATATTGATTTCAAAGAGGAAGGGAGAGGGGAGAGTCACGGAAATATCAATGATAAGAGAGCATCATTCATCAGCTGCCTCCTGCACACCCCCTATTAGGGACCAAGTCCACAGCCCGCGTTTGTGCCCTTGACAGGAATCAAACCCAGCACTCTTTATTCCGCAGGCCGACACACTATCCCCTGAGCCAAACCAGCTAGGGCAAGTTCCCATTATTTATTACTGAAGATAAGAACATTCAAATATAAATTTGTGTGGTTCTTGTTCAGGGAATGCATTTTCTTATGAAAATTTCTTTCCACACATAGGTCAAAAATGTAATGAAAAATATCATGGCTGGATTGCAACAAACCAACAGTGAAAAGATTCTCCTGAGCTGGGTCCGACAATCAACTCGTAATTATCCACAGGTTAATGTCATTAACTTCACCACCAGCTGGTCTGACGGTCTGGCTTTGAATGCTCTCATCCACAGTCATAGGTAAGGAGACTGCTGAGGCATTAAATAATTTTTATAAGTATTGGGTTAGAGACTGATATTTTTTTCTCCAATGTGGTTCCAGATCATTTGCCACTATGCAATGTGTTATGTGTGTTGACCATATTTATCTAACCATGCACTGGAATGCACTGAATAAGAATATTTATTGTGTTGTTTATGATATATAATTTACCTGTTGATTAAATGACCAGAGCACGCATATGGTTATGGTGGAGGAGAGGATCAACATATTTGAAATAGGAAATCTACCAGAAAAACAAGGTTATTTCCTGACTTTGCTAAGAATGCAGTTTGTTTTTCTATACAAATAATGTGTTAGTATGAGTTCAAACTATAGAGCTAAAAATGGTTCCATATCTCATGTGAGTGGCTATAGTAAAATTAATTATCATCATCAAATTAATAATTATAAAAAGAAACATTTTTCTTATCCCTACACGGTTAGATAGCAAATACCATAAGGCCCTGTATATTTTTTATATTTCAGGGTTAAAAGAGACTCTGAGCAGCTTAGCAGTCAAACGAGGCAAAGAGCAGACCACATTTAATTTTATGACTCAGGGCTGAGAATATCAAAAGAAATAATTGCTCTGGAATAGCAAAGCAACTGGTATTAAACAAGAGAGAGAGAGAGAGAGAGAGAGAGAGAGAGAGAGAGAGAGAGAGAGAGAGAGAGAGAAAGAGAAAGTGTTGTTCTGTGGATCTTCATAAAAAGTGTGGAAGGAGACTTGACTTGGGTAGTGCATACACAATACAACATGCAGATGATTTATTATAGGAAAATAATAATTCAGTGTAATTTAGTGAACCAAATGTATTATTTTAAGTTACAGTCTAAACCTAGAGGATTTAACTCTATTCCACACAATATTATATATTCTAAGATAAAAAAATACTTGTTTGAATTTTTTTATATAAAGGAGCTCAACAAATGAATGAAAAACAGTTCAAAAAAGCAAAACAACATAGTAAGTACATATATAATGCATTCATATATGTTGTCATATAATATTGAAATATATATTACCTGTATAATACATTTACTCTAAGGAATATCTACTTTGGTTTTCCTACCATCTATCTGTTTTACCAAGCCCAATCCCCAGGGTCAAAACATTGCTTTATTAACTATGTTTGAAATGCCACTGGAGTGTACTTTCCCTAATTTTCAATACAGCTTAGCTTTCTTTTCCTATGCCAATCTTGCTTCTAGAAAAGTCCAGAGTATAAATTTTCTTCAAGGTACAGCTCAATCCAAAGAGCAAAGGCTCTCTAAATAAACATCTTTGTTGGGTGTCTTGCTCCAGCTGGGTTTAATTAACCCCATTCAGGGTGAGTTTTCAGGTGAAGGATTCAGCAACCTGATTTTCCAGAGGAGACAGGCTCCCACTCAATGGGTATGTTAAGCAATGTCAACACCTTTGTTTTTCATAAATATAACATAACGAAAAATTTTCCACAGCTTCAGTACAGTCTTATAAGAAAGGATAGAGATGTTCATTCTGCATAAGTCAGCACTCATTTATGCAGCCACATGCTCCCAGTAAGGGCCTGAACGTATTGATCTTGTACACATTTGCAGTGAATAGAAATAGCAAGGATCAGGTCATGCGGTCCTTGTTGGCTCTTTAACATTTTCTTTTCAAGTGGAAGGCTTCAATCCTGCAAGCATGTTCACACACTGCATTTGTTAATATTATACCTCATGAATTCTGAATGTTTGTAAATAATACAGTAAACATATCCAGATTGCCCTCTGGGTCAGTCCCTAACCCACTCTTTCTCTGGCAAAATAACTTCATTTATATATTCTTTCCTGTCATGTTGAATGAATTAACCATAGCTACCTTTGTATGAAAAACAGTTACTTTTCAAGAGCTTTCTCACAGTTGATAATACTCTTTCATGAATCATCTCCTTCTTTTTGTCTCTGACAGACATTCATATTGTTTAAGAAAAACATGGTTGAACTTTATTTTCCAAGGTTACTGCCATTGGTTTACTTAGAAATGTCATGAGGTGTCCTGATTTCAATAATTGAGTGACTAAGCTATATATCGGGTCTAGTAATAATTAATGTCGTTTTTAAACATTCGTTTAAAATCTTGCTTGGCGTTGACTTGTATTGACATAACCTTCAAACACGTGGTATCTACAGAACGTGTGAAGTGCAATTAACAAGTTTTGCTTGAAAAAGTTTGTGTTTGGTTTGGTTTTTGTTGCAAAACTAGGGCTAAGAAGATGGCGGATGAAGAGCATATTCGGCACTGCATGCTTTACGAGTTCCAATTAGGAAGAAAAACAAGTGAGGCTGCAAAAAACATCTGTAGTGCTCTTGGTCAAGATGCAGTTAGTGCCAGAAAATGCCAGCGTTGGTTTGAGAAATTTCGCGAGGGAAATTTTTCATTAGATGACAAGAGTGGTCGAGGCCGTGTGTCCAATTTTGATCAAGAAGCTCTTCAAGCTCTTTTGGTGCAAAATCCTCAAATTACCCAACAAGAGCTTGCGACAACTTTAAATTGTTCACAAAAAACAATTTCCAATCAATTGCGTGCACTTGGCAAAGTCCAAAAGTTTGGAAAATGGGTTCCTCATGAGTTGACCGACAACAACCTTAGTCAAAGAGTCACAATTTGCAGTTTGCTCCTCTCTCGTCAAAACAGTTTTCCGTTTTTAGAGCAGGTTGTTTGGAAATGAAAAATGGGCGTTGTCTGTTAATTTGAAAAGGCGGCCACAATGGTTGGACAAAAATGAGGCTCCGCAGCCCACGCCAAAACCTGACTTGCATGCGAAAAAAGTGATGTTGTGTGTTTGGTGGAATTTTAAAGGAATTCTTCATTATGAACTTTTACCATCTAACCAAACCATTCCAAGTGCAGTGTATAGTGCCAATTGGAAAGGTTAGCCCAAGCTTTAAGAGAAAAAGAACCCGCGCTGATTAATCGGAAGGGCGTAATTCTTCACCACAATAACGCACGACTGCATACTGCAAGAATCACTGCTGAAAAACTGCACCAGTTGGAATGGGAAGTTCTCCCTCAACCTGCATATTCTCCTGATATTGCCCCTTCCGATTACCATTTGTTTCGTTCTTTGCAAAACTTTCTTCTTGGAAAAAAATTTAATAATGAAGAATGCCTCAAAAATGCATTGACTGAATTTTTTGCATCAAAATCACAAGAATTTTACAACAGAGGGATTAAAATGCTTCCTGAGCGTTGGGCACAAGTAGTAGAAAACAACGGCAATTATATTGTTGATTAAATTTTGTTGTATTGTTTAAATAAATCTGATTTAAAAAAGTATTAGAAAACGACATTAATTATTACTAGATGTAATAGTACAAAGGTATGCACTTAATATAAAACATTAGGGGTAGGTAAAGAGCTTTGCGGTTAGAAGATTTGTGGGTTGATATATATTTAAGGATAAATTTCATCTTAATATGTAGGAAATTAAAAATGTTATCTTAAACACAAAGTCCAAGACATTGTCATTAAAAGGAAGCTACATTTTACTTTTATGGGAAAAATCAAATGATAATTGATTAGAATATGCTCAAATTATGCAGATAAATTGCTGTAAAGTTGCAATTAGGTATTCTTCCTAATTGCTTATTGTACTTTGTTACCATAGAGTAAGCACAGCATATGGTTGTTTTTTAAATTCGTTCTTGTTTAAAGTATTACATATAATATTACATATGTCTCATTTTTCCTCCATTGACCTCTGCCTGGACACCCCCCTCCTCTAGCACATATCCTTACCTGCCTCGTGTCTGTAGTCATTGGTTATGCTTATATGTGTGCATACAATTCCTTTGGTTGGTCTCTTACCCCCCACCTCCCCTGCCTTTGTTCTGAAATTTAATTGTCTGTTCAATGCTTCTCTGTCTCTGGAACTATTTTTGTCCATCAGTTTATATTGTTCATTATATTCCACAAATGAGTGAAATCATATGATATTTATCTTTCTCACAGTTGATAATACTCTTTCATGAATCATCTTCTGTTTGTCTCTGACAGATATTCATATTCTTTATCCATGAAAAAAATGGTTGAACTTTATTTTCCAAGGTTATTGCCATTGGTATACTTAGAAATGTCATAAGGTGTCCTGATTTCAATAATTGAGTGATTAAGCTATATAGTACAAAGTTATGTACTTAATTATCTTTGGCTTATTTCACTTAGCATAATGTTCTCCATGTCCAATCATTCTGATGCAGATGCTAATAGTTCTTTCTTTTTTCTAACAATGTAGTATTCTGTTGCATAGATATACCATAGTTCTTTAATCCAGTCATCTGCTGATAGGCATTTAGGCTGTTTCCAAATCAAATTGTGCTTCTGTGAACATAGGGGTACGTATGTCATTTCTGATTGGTGTTTCTGATTTCTTGGGATATATTCATAAAAGTAGGATTACTGAGTCAAATGGGAGTTCTATTTTTAATTTTTTTAGGGAACTCCATACTGATCTCTTCAGTGGCTACACCAGTCTACATTTCCACCAACAGTGCACAAGTGTTCCTTTTTCTCCACATCCTCACAAGCACTTGTCATTTGTTAATTTGTTGGTGATAGCCATTCTGACAGGTGTGAGTGAGATTGTATATTATTGTCATTTTGATTTGCATCTCTCAGATGATTAGCAATCTTGAGCATGTTTTCATGTCTCTTGGCTTTCTGTATGTCCGTTTTAGAAGGTATTTATTTAAATCCATTGCCCATTTTTTGATTGGATTGTTTATCTTTCTTTTGTTCAGAAGTCTTTGTTTCCTATAGATTTTGGAGATGAGGCCATTATCGGATATAACATTGGCAAATATGTTCTCCCATACAGTGGGCTTTCTTTTTTGTTTTGTTGATGGTTTCTTTTGCTGTGCAGAAGCTTTTTATTTTGATGCAGTTCCATTTGTTTATTTTCTCCTTAGTTTCCATTATCCTAGGAGCTTTATCAGTAAAGATATTGCTACA